CAGCCCCACCGCAGAGCCCCGCCGGGCGGGCGGGGGAGGCAGCGGGAGCGGTTTTGTTCCGGTGACTATTTAATTTTTTTTTAATAGATTTTTTTATTTATTTTTTTTTTATTATCTTATTTTTAATGCGCCTCCGGTCTCCGTTCTCCAGCAGGGCAGCTCAAAATGGCTGAGAGCTGACTCGGCTCTCCCGGAACCGTACGCTTCGGCCGGCTCCTCCCGGCTGCCCGCCGCCGCCTCGCCCCTTCCCGGCGGGGCCGGGGGGGGAAGCCGCGCCGGGGGAAGGCGCTCCGCGGGCGGCCCGGACAGCCGTCCCTCTGCCCCGGGACCCCCGGCTCCATCGCATTGTTGCCGTCGGGGGGCTGCGTCCCCCCGGCCGGCCATGAGACCGGGCTAGGTCGGGCACCCTCCCCGGACGCCTTTCCCCCCGCCCCCAGCCCCGGTGGGAAGTCAGAGCAGGTTGATTTGGGGTCCGCGGGGTTTAGATCCCCCCTTGGCAAAGCCCATCCCCTCTCTCATCCCTCTCCGGGAGCGTTGGACGAGGCTGGGAGGGCTGCGCTGGGCTGGGGTTTGCTCTGAATGACCGAGCTCTCCCATTCAAGACCTCGCAATCTCAAAGCAGGCGAGAGGGGTTTTTTTTTCTTCTTCTTTTTTTTTTCCTGTCTTGTCTTTTTTTTTTTTTCCTCTTCCTTTTTTTCTCTGCTGCTCCACAGGGTGAGAAGCAAATCTGTGGGGCTGCAGAGAGAATTCATTTTTTCGCCATCGTCATCGTCGCTATTATTATTATTTTTTAATCTTCCTCCTTTTCCCATTTTGGATCTTAACCCTTTGATCTGTTTCCTTTAAAAGACTCTGATTCCCAACTCCCATCAGGGGAGAGGGAGGAGAAATACAGGGGAGGAAAAAAAAACCAACAAAAAAAACCCGAGCGAGTCCGTGCTCTCAGCTGTTAGCCAGGTTGGTGGGGGACAAAAGTCCCTTTAAAATATTGAATGTCAGTTGCAAACCTAAGAAAAGAAAAATCCGATCCGGAGCGCTAAATTTAGGAGCTTTATATGGAACTTGGACTCTGCTGCTGGATTTTGTATGGATTTTTTTCAACCTTTGGTAAGTTTCGATTCACCTTCTGGGGTAAAAAGAAACAAATGGCTTTTAGGGGTGGTTAAGACTTTGGGCTGTAAATCCTACTGTATCGTGTTGGGGTTTTTTAGCCGTTTGTGTTGCTTTTTTAACGAAGCGACACGGACGTCACGTTTTCTCGCTGGAGATTCCTAGAGTGCTGCTCTTGGTTTATTTTATCCCTGATTTTAGAATATCTGCTGCGGTTTATTATTTGTCGCGCGTGCTGCGGGGAGGGGGGGGAGCCCAGCCGTTCACCCCCAGGCTTCCCGTTGCAGGGAGGACAGACCCCGGCGTCCGCCCCTAGACCGCACTGAGCGACCGAAGCGGGTGGGGGGAAACGTCGCCAGAGACTGCCGGCAGAGATGGCCGAGAATTGGAAGAACTGCTTCGAAGAGGAGCTCATCTGCCCCATTTGCCTGCACGTCTTCGTGGAGCCGGTCCAGCTGCCCTGCAAGCACAACTTCTGCCGGGGCTGCATCGGGGAGGCGTGGGCCAAGGAGTCGGGCTTGGTGCGGTGCCCGGAGTGCAACCAGGCCTACAACCAGAAGCCCAACCTGGAGAAGAACCTGAAGCTCACCAACATCGTGGAGAAGTTCAACTCCCTCAACCTGGAGAAGCCCCCCTCCGTCTTGCACTGCGTCTTTTGCCGTCGGGGCCCGCCGCTGCCGGCCCAGAAGATCTGTTTGAGGTGCGAGGCCCCGTGTTGCCAGTCCCACGTCCAGACCCACCTGCAGCAACCCTCCACGGCCCGGGGCCATCTCCTGGTGGAGGCGGACGACGTGCGGGCCTGGAGCTGCCCCCAGCACAACGCCTACCGCCTGTACCACTGCGAGGCCGAGCAGGTGGCCGTCTGCCAGTTCTGCTGCTACTACAGCGGGGCCCACCAGGGACACTCGGTCTGCGACGTGGAGATCCGCCGCAATGAGATCAGGGTAAGTCGGACCTTCGTGGAGACGTGGGTTTGTCCAGCCCGGGGGGGGCCGACGCTCTCCCTGGCCGCCCTCTCCCCTGCCGCGTTTGTTCCCCAAAGGCCTGTGTTTGTGTGTGGGGCCTAGGCAAAATCCACCCCGGTGCTGCTCCTCCTCCGCCCGGTGTCTCCCCCCCCTCCCTGCTTCGTGGCGGACATGTTAGGTGGCCTCCCCAGCCGAGCAGTGACGGAGTCTGCGGGTGCGGGGGGTGCTCTCTGGGGAAGGGGGTCCGTGCCAGGAGGCCTTCGGAGCCGTTCAGCCGTAGGACCTGCGGCCACTCGGGTCTGGGCTGCGCGGGGAAGGGTCAAGGTCCTGGGCCAGGGGGGTTTGGAGGGGTCGTCTCCCCGGTTCCTGCTGGGGTATGCAGCTGTTCGGGGGAAGGCGGAGGAGCTGCCCGCATCCGAGGTTGAGTCGCCCCGGAATCGGGCTCCCTGGGGGGACAAAGTGGCCGCAGACGCAGACCCTGTCCATTGTAAGGCCTGTGAATGTCAAACTGCCGGCTCTTCCCACCGCCTCCCGCCGGGACCGGTGGCCGCTATCCCCTTCCCCCCCTGTGATGGAGGAGCTTTGCGTCAGAGACCCATGGCTTCTCGCTGGCGGGGATTCGGGCTTGGGGTTTGGCCAAATAATGGGGTTTTTCTTAGGGGGCACAGGGCTGCCCCCCCCTCCCTAAAGCAGCATGGGGCGTAGCGCTGGATTCGAGGGAAAGCGAGTCTGTATTTTGCTCGTGGCCAGGCCATCTGGCAGGAGCTTTCACCCCTGGCTCCCCACCCTGAAGTTTGTGGCGGGCATTTAACAGCCCTGTGGGCAGCCCTGCCATGACCCCACCACCACCTTCCCCCGTCGCCCAGGGCTGCCCCTCCGCTCCCCCTCCGACCCTTCGAAAGAGGCCTGGCGCTTGTCCGCCGAATAAATATTTAACAATGAATTGAATGGTGATTACTGTAAAATGGGGATGATTTCCTGTGTATTTTAATGTTGCCAAAATGAGTCACCATTTAGCAATAAAAAAAAAAAAGTCATAAATAAAAATTGCAGTATAATTACTTTCCAATTGGATGGCCAGGCCTGGGGATGGGGGGGCAGCCTTGTGCAGAGGGGAGCCAGCCTGAGCTCACAGGAAGGTTATTTTCCTCTCCAGGTTTTTTGGGGGAAAACCAGAGACCTCCGTGGAGGTGCCAGCAGCTCTGCCACACGCACTGGAAGGGGAAAGACCCAGCCAGGCTTTTGGAGAAGCGTTTTTCTGCTTCTATTTATAGGGAGTCATTTTGGTCGCCCTCTGCCAGGGTGGGGAGTCACCCTGGAAGGGCTGCACGGGGCTGGGATGGGGCTTGCATGTGTATTTCCTGGGAGCCTTAGCCAGGGACCAAAACTATTTTTCCAGGTCCTTTTCCAGGACACTTTGATCTCATCTATTCCCGCTCTTGCTGCGTGGTTTTTTTTTTGTTGTTGCTGCCGTTGTTATGGCTGGATGTTTGCTGCTCCTTGCAGATGCACGCTGCTAATGACCTGGCAGAAAGCTGCCACCAGCTAGGCTGGATTTTGGCCTTGGCTTGGAATTTTAGGATATGTGGCTGGACACTGAAGGTGTCGGACGGCTGTGTTGTAGAGCCACAGAATTATTTTGTGACCTTGGCCAAATCCCTTGGTATCTCCATCACCGCGTTATCTTAATTTTCTTTCGCTGTGATGATAAGCTTGTCTCTTCCTACTGGGTGCACGGCTCAGTTGGGTGCTCGGAGGCTGGGGCAATGCAGGACAGCCCGAAGCTGGGGGATGGCGTGCCCAAAAGATCCCCCCCTGTAGTTGAAGCAGTTCCTCCATGAAAAGGCCGCAGTAGGGAAGAGCCCCTGGGAAAAACACCCGGCAGTTGCCGGCCCTCACTGCATGGCCTTGGCCAGGTCTCTGGCTGAAAACCTCTCCTCGTTAGCCAGCAAGGAAGGTGGCTGTGTTGGCTCCCGAGTTAGGGTGCGTGCGCTCAGCCGGTGACTGCTTCCCGCCTGCGGGAGCCAGGCCCGGGATTCCTGGCTGCTTGCTCACCCCATGGCGGAGAGCCGCTCTTGGAGCATCCTGGGGAAGGAGGGCTGGGGCTGGGGGGCAGATGAGTAACACTGGGCTTGGGAGGTCCGGGGGAGGCCCCATTGTGAGAGGTTTGTTCCATGTGTGGCTCGCGTTTGGGAAGCTGTTAATTGAGAAATGAGTCAAAGTTTGGAGGCTCAGAGCCTTGTCCTTGGTGCGGGGGACTTGCGACTGTGTGTGGGGTGCAACATTGACCTGGTGTGGTGGGGGTGGCCCCCATAGCCCGGAGGAGGGATGGGAGCCTTTTTTAGTATTTATTACTCTGTCTCTGCTGCCGGGCCACCTTGAAGGGCATCTTACCCCCAGTTACGGTCAGATTTGAAGGGGAAAAGGGGCTCAAAACTCCTTGGGGACCACACCAGCGCTTTCAGCTGTAAGCTGGCAATTAGGGCAAGAGAGCTCGTGCTGGGCAAAAGAGGCTGGAGGCCAGTGTCTGCAGGAGGAAAGAGGGTGTCTGTGGAGGGCTCGCTTGAGGTGGAGGCACATGCTTGGTGGGTTTGGGGTAAGGGGACCGCTCAGCATTAGGTGCTGTACAAACCCGCAGAGCCCTGGCTCAGAATTGGTTGAACTCCACAGTGCAACCATAATACAAACAGTAAATAAAATATGTGGTTAATCTTTCTTTCGTGGGCGTATAAAGCGCTTACCTCCCCTTCCCCCCGTGAGATGTTTTCTCCTTTGTTTCCTGTTTTTGTAGTGCTTAAAGAGGAGAGGGGGAAAAAAACCCCAACAACCCACCCTTTTTTTTTTGCTTCTTGTCATTTCGTTTGTGTCAAGGTCTCAAAATGAAACATTTTTTCTTCCATCTTTGCCTTTGCTGCCCCAGACACGTGCCTCCTGCCTGCATGGGGGAACCTGCTTCCAGGGTTGAAAAAGAAAGTTGCTGCCCTTTTTTTTTTTCTTTTTTTTTTTTTTTTTTTTTTTGTCCCCCATTCATCCCAAAAGGAGAAAAATACATTGCTGGAATTGGAGCACGGGTCAAATGCCAGCAGCCAAAGAAAGGGACTCACTTGCGGGGTGCCCTATCTTTGTGTGGGACATGGTTGACTGAGGCCAGGTACATTAGAGCTTGCCTGGGGATGTCCCAGCTGCCTGTCCTCAGCTGGAAGTGTCACTGGTGGAAAAGGGCTTGGGTAGAGGCTCTGCTTCTGCTTCCGTTTTGTTCCAGGGATGAACGTAGATTTCCCTCTGACCTAGCTTGCAGCGCATTTTTGGGAAATCAGGAGAAAACCCCTCCGTGTTCTGAAGATCTCTGTTGGTTTTGAACATTAAGAGGGAGAAAGTGCATTGTGGTGCTGAGACCTGTGGGAAAACATTGGGGATCCTTCTGCAGGTGTGTGGGAGCAGCGCCCAGCGCTGGTAATGGAGCAGCGCCCATTGAGCAAATCCAGGGGGACAGGGACTGGGCTGCTGGTCCCATCTGCTCCTCAGTGGGTTTGGCCTTTCTTTCTTGGCAGCACCCCAGATAAGGCCAGTTCAGGTGCTTTCTAAAGTATGGGAAAGAGGAGAGGTGAGCACTTGCTAAGAGCACAGGAAGAGATGAATCCCAAGTCTGTACCAGAAACTCTGGTCCCTTGCCAGCATTGGCCACCAGCCCCAGTGCAGAGACGGCCCGTGCACTTTTCCTGCCTGCCCCAGCTGATTGCTTCTGTGGTTTAAAAGCTCTAGGTCTCTAGAGGGAAAATGCCACCAGCTTTTCTTTGCTAGGCGGACCTGACAACAGAGATACCTTCCTGCTTGAAATAAGTCCCGTGTTGCATCCCCACGCTGCCATCTGTGCCAGGGACATTTTGCTGGAACCTAGGGAGCCTCACTGGTGGGGAGGCTGGGGTCGGCTCCACTGCCAGGCTCCTGGCATGAGCTGCTGTATGTTGTTTTACTCTGAAACAGGTTTGGTAACTTGTGATGGGCTGGATTTTTACAGGCTTACTTATTTTCCAGATGACTTGTTTATGAGGAGTGCGGCATGCAGCTCACTGGAGGCATTGTGAGCGCAAGTGTTCAAGTGTTAATTTAGCTCTCGTGACTGTAAGATGGTGTGGGCTGATGCCTGGCAGGTGTTCCCTATGGCAGTCTTTGAACATACCTGGTCCCCAGATGACTTTTGCAGTAGGTCCTATGAAGCCAGAGATGCGCAGGTTCTCCCTGTGCCCTCCATCTGAGCCTCCACCAGCACCCCAGAGCTGAACCGCCAGCCCAGCCTGGGGGTTAGGTCAGCCTAACCCAGGTCTCTCTCCCCTGGCTTTGCCCATGCCCTGGTTCCTTCTCAGAGGCCTCAGGATTCCAGCATTAGGCTCCTAAATGTGACTGATCATTATGGCCTGGGATCCTGTCAGTTGGTCAAGCTGCCATGATGAGTAATGACTTCTTGGGCCTTGGGCAGTCACAGAAATCCCAGCACCCACCTAGCCTCGCTTTCTAGCTCCATGCCATTCACCGCCATCCGTCAGGCTTTGCTGCACTGTGTTGTCAGGGGCAGCAGGGGATTTCAGTTCAACCGATAGCAGCTTGTGCCGCCATAGAGAGGTCTCAGGGGAGCTGAGCCACCCTGCTGCAAACCTATCTGGGTGTGCTGGCCAAGTGGCAGTGGGTAGGTTGGCTGATACTGGGACAGTCTCCTGCCTCCCCCGGGTTTGGATTAAGGGCTTTTCCCCAACGCTTTCCTGCTAAACTTGAGCATTTTCCTCGCCCTTAGCCCATCAGGTTGCCAGCAGTTGCTTGCTCTAGACCTGCAGCTGCAAGTCTAATGTGTAGAGTCAATCTGAGAAGTGACAGCAGAGATGGAGGATGTGGGGAGGCAGCCTGGTGAGTTTAGGTGGGAGGGAGGAGGCTTGCATGGAAGGGACAGCTTTGGTAAAGAAGAGGAGTAGGACAGGGGCTGCAGT